GCTGAGCATAAAAAGCCCGGTAGCAATTGCTAACACGTACATACACATGCGCGTTTTATATCCACTGCAGTGAGAATGGTTCAATTCTACCATCTCTGTTAATAGGAAACTAATGTAAGTAAGCATGTATAGTACACCGGTTAGGTTGTTATAGTTTACTAATTTAGGGTTGTCTAAAAGATTTTAAATAAGGAAATAGCAATAAAAACGACACAAATGGATGAGATTTGCATTAAGTGCTGATTTCTGTGTCAATAATTTGAAAACATTATGTACCTACCTAGGTAATTGGATTCATTATCGTGTCAATTTTGTCACATTATAGACTTTGTAACCCATGTAGGTCAATGTAACGTCTAGACTACTGCCTAGTTTACTTATCTACATAACTTGTTAGGCTACAAAGATGTAAAGTTATTTTCTTCAGTTAGTGCATTTTGTGCTCGAAATTTACATAGTACCTACAGGATTAAGGGGTGCAACTCAGTGGATGTCCTCCTGGTTTTCGAAGTCAAAAACTTTGGACATTTACCAGTAAAAATAACAGTGATTTTTTTATTTATAATAGTACCTGCATCTAGGTAATCTTCAAGGAAACTCTCTGCTGCAGCCTACTAAATTAGGAATGCTTACTTAACAGTAAACTTAAATGATAATGTATACCTTAATTCTAAAACAAATTACCTATAATCTAAACTCTAGGTAAGTACCTTAATTGGCATAATGCGGAACTGGTTTTGAAAACCCTTGTATAGCAAATGCAGTTAGGTAGGTAGTACTATGGTTTTCTAGTGTCCAGTAGTGAAAGGGAGCGTAGTCATACTCCTGTAGTGCGTATAAATTGTTAACTTAGAACTAGCAGGAACTGTGGTGTAACCGGAATCCAACACCGTAAAGTGCGATTTAGAAAGGACTGTAAGTTTCGGTATGCGATATAGCCTGAATGAAGGTAATGTAATTGTTTGATATTGTCAAATCGACGTATCCGCCTGGCCAAACGGCTTTGTACCGCAGGCTTTTTGCAAAATGAATGTTATCGAATAACATAGTGGTGCATACGTGAGCCATAGAAGTTATAAACCATGTTGATATTACTGCAATAATGTGTTACAGAGCTTTAAAAAATATAAAAGTTCTACCAGGATCTACCAAATACTAGTAAAAACGTGCATTATATCGTTTGTGTACAGGCCCTTAGGTGTCCGAAGGAAAATGAATTCTAAAATAAAATGTACAATAGTGCGTGCGTACAGTTAAACCATTTATTTTTACGTATGTAACTTAAAAAATATAAACAATAGTCTGTTGTTCTTAGTATTCTACTAATAATAACTGTCAGTCATTTGAAAAGGATATATGAGTTATCCTTTATGTCTAGTAAAATTATATTTTGATTATTAGGTGTAACGATAACATACAAGGTTTGTAAATACTAATACGGATATGTCAATATTTGTATCATTTTTTTTTTCAATTTACAATTGACAGCCTATTATTTATATTTGTTAGCAATTGAAAATGATTATGATTATTGAAAGTTTACGATGTTAAACGTCATTAAATAATAGTTAGTTTGCATTTATAATAATTTTAAGTTGTAGTACATAAATTAATCAGTTTAGCTAAGCGTTTAATTTCCGTACTAATTAAATTTAATTTATTTGTGCATGTGAACTAAACTCTGATTTTTAATTCGACGGAATTTTGACATTTCAGAAGTGTTGTCAACATTGAAACATTCCCATTATGAATGGAGAGCATTTTCACAAATTAAAAAATAATCCTTTCTTGAATTTAAGGTTTCACTTGAAAAACTAAGGTTTAAAAATGTACTGATCATTTCAAAATGGTTATTTGAATTTTTATTATCATATTTTTGAAGTTACAAAAAAAATTGGGAAATTATTTTTCTATTACTGGACTCCCTGGCCAATAATTCATGGGTTACAAACCTTTTTTATGAAAATCCTTTTGTTAATAAAATCTTAGCTTCATAAAATAAGTAATGTAACAAGATGCCAATTTTATAATGCAAGTTGATTATGACGACGATAATGATTATTGATGATCAATACATATTTTCGTTTATGATAATATGTTGTTTTACTGTGTTAAAACACGTTTTTTTTCTATTTAATCTCTAAAATGTACATAATAATTAGTGTACATTGAATTGACAAAACAAACAATAGTAAATTCTTGTAAGTTGTACTTGATGAAATTTCATTTCATATTATTTATTATTAATTCAAAGTAAAAAAGGCTTATTACATCTGAATTGTCAAAAAATGACAGCTGTCAGAATTCCGTCGAATTAAAAATCGGACTATAGGCTACGTCTAATTGGACGCATTCACAAATAGTAAAATGAAAAGGAATTAAATAAAAACAGAATAAAATTGGTGTTATGCGTATGTTATAACCCTAACTTAAAACAATTAACTACAAGTAATCTATATCACCTTATCTAATTCGTGTCATGGTAATGATTCGATTAAGCATTCACCGAGCTCCGACTGCTCAATCATTTATCATTAACATAAATGAAGCCGATCGGATACAAAGTGTAGGGTTTAGTTGCTACGGACAGTGATTTGATTTCGTCAGATTACAACTTAAATTACACGTTAAACGTTCAAGAAAAAACCGGTCAAGTACGAGTCGCGCATTCAGGGCTCTGTGACCGATTCCTTCTTTTTCAAACATCTCTTCTTTTCCTCAATCCACCTCTTTTATATTGGCTTCATTTTCTATGATCACAAATGCCTTGTGAGCTAAATTAGTTGGCAGATAAGTTACTGTGCTGCATGGGTGCCCCTGATATTACTATACGACTATAAATTTTCTGACTGTTCTAATAAATGAAACGATAACTGTATGTGAGCTTTTAAACCTACGATTACGAAAAACCTTTTTGGAGATTAGATAATATTCGTTTGGTCATTTCTAAAAGAAGGGTCTGTTCGAAAATTCATTAAGGTTTCATAATTTAATCTTTGTTAATCAATCAGTCAATTTTACGATCGCGTTGTCATTTGGGATCAAACTGGGCTGCGGTCGTTGGGTATAATCATCGATCGATACTATCTGTCAATTGATTGTTCGGGTTCGCTGGCGGCGACCGAGGCCGTTTTCTATTATGTGAAAGGGTGTGGCCTGTCCATGGCTACTGCGATTGTCCAGTGTCAATACACTTGATTGTGGGAGGCCTAATTATTTGGCATGGTTTATTCAGGTTGACCAGTCACGATGACTCTTCAAAAGTAAAGGATGTAAAAGGTAAAAAGGTGGCCGGTATTTTTTAATCAAGTGGTATTGTTAAATTAGCAAATTGTAAAACACTTGGAATGTCGATCTGGGAGAGGTGTTAACAAAAAGGTTTCATGTTTTTATTTAATTTTTGATGTGTAAACTTTTGTTTTTATAAATTGTTGATGTGTAAGTTTTAGTTGCTTTCACGTGGTTTTTTTGTTTTTAAACAAGGATACTTATTTTTTATAATCTCATGATATTATACCTATTTAATTACTTGTAATATAATAATAAGTAGTACTTACCTATTCAAATTCAGTTTTTGTCTGTCGCTAAATTCAATCGCTTCCATAACAAAAGTATCGTGTGACAAAAAACCTTCAAAATTGAATTCATTTCAAAATGATATGTCCATAGTATCAATGTCAATGTAATAAGAGGCTTGACCAATTTTTGCAAATAGCTTGGATGTAGTTTCAAGTTCCTTAAATCGAGATTGAGTCAATAGCTAAGGCGAGGCGTTTACGTTACAGTGCGGATTTAGTGTGCGTTGAAGTATGGAGTTTCATACAAAGAATACTGACCGCCTCGAGTTGATACGGATACGATCACTTTCCGGGTTAATATCGTTTCAGCCAAATGACGTCCACTGCTGGACAAAGGCCTCCCCCAAGGATGAAATGTTCTACGACATAAAATCATTGATTTTTGTTCCCACTGCAAATTGAAACTGAAATATCTGTGCAAAAGTAAAAAATCAGGATTTTGGGCTAGTGATGAAACAAGTAGGAATTAAAATGCCTTTTTACTTAAACAAATAAAAACTTGAATGGAAAAGATTTTTGAAACCACATTGTCTGACCAGTGACCGAGCGAATGGACATTTCCTCAACGTGACCGGACATGTTGGTCATTGTTGCTGACGTCACGTTTAATTTTAATTGCATCTAGGTACGTTGACTGGTGATTTACCTTCGAACTCCTCCTATGTTCTAACTTCGAACTTCTCCTATATTCTTTTCATTAATTTTGTTGCGGGTCCAATGACAGTTTAATTTTCCTTCCCCAAGATAAACTTGACTTCACTGGTTGGATTTTTATTGGCGGTTAAGCTGTAGATACTGGCTCCACAGGAGTTGCAGCGGTGGGAACGAGATGTGGGAGTAGTCCAGTAACTAGTGATTTACAATAATACACCAAAAGACAATGCCGGAAATTGGCGTCTTTTTTTTTTCGCGCGGCCATCGACCAATCCTTGTTTTTTGATTACAAAATAGTGTAATAAACCAAACTTAGTATGACATGTATACCTCTAAACTCAGTCTGAACTGAGTTACGAGCATCAGAAGTTTGATGATTTTCATACTAGATTTGCTGTTTGGGCGTAAGTTTTGTAAGAAATTGCAACAAAATAATGACATTGTGTGTGTAAACAAACAATACCATCCATTAAAGGCTCCAGACATCAGTATGCAGCAGAATCAGCGCAATAAAAAAATAGCGCAATATTTTGTTGCAATTTCTTACAAAACTTGCGCGCAAAAAGCAAATCTAGTATGAAAATTATTAAACTTCTAATGGTCGTAACTCAGTTCAGACTGAGTTTAGAGGTATACATGCCATAGTAAGTTTGGTTTATTACACTATTTTGTAATCAAAAAACAAAGTTTGGTCGATGGCCGCGCGAAAAAAAAAAAGACGCCACTTTCCATACAAAATCTGGCATTGCCATTTCTATGGCGTTACAGGTGCGAAGCGTATACTTCCCTCGAGAGCTGCTGCGGCCGGCCTCCCTGCTGACCAACATCGTGTTGGACGACACGAGGGCGCAGTCCACGCGGCTGTCGGCTACATGTGACAACATATTCGCGTACATCAGTGACACCGTGGCTCCAGGTATGGCTTTTAAATCTTACAACTGGACTTCCTAAACCAACACGCTGGGCGCCACAGGGCTCTCCTGTGAACCTTGAACAATAAAATGTGTCTATCAGCGGTCTATTTGGCGGTCAGCGAAAGATAAGGGGAGTTTTTTGAGAGTTCAGTATGCTACACTAAGCTAAAGGCAGTGTCCATAAGTCTACTTGGTCTGTTAAGTCGTTGTTTGACAGAGCGACTAAGGCCCGATTGGACCAAACTTTTATCCGAGAATAACTCCTGGTATAACTGGCACATTGACAGTTTCAGTATGGGAAATATGTCAAAATGTCGAATAACTGACGATTTATTCTGAGATTAATATTTACTCTTGTTTGGTCGAAGTCACCCTAACTAGTATTTATTAGTTGGGTCTCTAAGTATTCATTACACAAGTGTACATAACTTTAATAGTTCTCTTGTCACTAGTTTAAAATAATCACTAGTTCAACTACTGCTTATTGGACCGTTTAGTGAACGAACTAGTGAGAACAGAGGACTTTTTTTTAATGTTTTCTATAAGTGAAAATAAATTATTAAACTTTTATAAAATCAATAAATGATTATTACCAAGAATTTAATAAAAAAGGAACATGGCGATTTTACAACGATTTCTATTACCTGATGAAGTATAAATTTAATATTTGAAGCTGCGTAGCTAATTAAGGAGAACGGATATTAATAAATTGATCTCATGTCCGTTTAATCCGATACTGCTCAGCTGAGTAATTTAATTAATTCCTGTGTTGGAAACAAGCATTAATTTTATATAACAAAATTCATGAAATAATATATCTTTAACTGAAATTGAGCCAGCATGTATGTCTATAAAGCATTGTAGCGGAAATAAGTAGTTCAACTTTTATAACATGCATTCTTGAAATTCCCTATACTGCTGTAGCATATCACTTTCTACCGCGAGATAAAAGCGCTTATTGCCATTGTAAAATTATGCAGGGTCAGCTATTTCTTACAGGATTTTTAACTGTGAACTTGCTAAGTACCTACAGCTTCTTCTATGTCGATTAGATTAAATTAACTAGATACAATAAACCAATAATGTTACATTAACATTCATCCCCGGTTTTAAACCCGCAAACATTGCTGGCGTTGTAGTATTCCGATACATTACTAAACCACAAAACAATTTAAAGTAGTTTAAAAAAAACCTAACAACATTTTAATCCTAAGTCGTTTAAGTGTTGTCATTTAATTGCACCATTGTGTTCTGCGAAACACCTACAATCCTACATCGTACAACGCATCTACAGTTCCTCGAGTGCGTGAAAGTGATATTTTTTACGCGACAACTCATGTTCATTCAAGAGTGTTACCTAACAAAGCAATAACACGCACTACTAATCGAGTTTCCACTACGTGAGAAATATTACTCGTTTGTAGGTAACTGGGCCCTGCATCTCGATATGACGTCTTTAATACAACATTAACGCAATCACACGTGTACAAACCATTTAGCAGTGCGTAATTATACGTTTGAGATCAAACTTCGTAACATTGCATTGTTATTCAAATTGGCGAAGTGTACGAACACTCGCAACTACGGTTTCTTACAACAAGATGTATGTTGCATATTTTTTTTTAGGCATTATGCTGGTTAAGTGTCCTCTCTAAGGGACTAAACAAATATTGGCATAGAGTCGATTATGTCAAAATTATTTGGCCGATTAGGCGATAAGTAAGTCCAGTTAAAATAATAACCGCGCATCTATTTTTGTTGTTAATTGGGATTTCCAATTGTTTTTGTCATTTATTGTGTTAATTATGACGTGACAGCCGAAATATTTTCGCAATAAATCACGATTAACCAAATAACATGTTAAGTAACGTTAACATGAGCGTAGTTGATAGGATGCCTCAATTATGTGTTCGGCTTTAAATACCACTTACACAAATCGTTCTTGGGCCAAAATAAGACACAAAAACTTGCAATTAACGCGCCTATTATCGAGTATGGACAAATTGGCGTGTTTGTAACTTTGTTTGAGGCACATGTTTCGCTACTTAGGGCTCGGTGGACTGTGTCGCCGGTGGAGCTGCTTTCTCAAAAAATTGTGACGTAACCTTCACTGAGCTTGTCAAGAAAATACTAATTAATTGTAAAACAGGTTAGATACATTGTATTTAGCAACAGGCCGTAACAAGTGCGTGTGACTAAATAATAGGTGCAAAGATGAATTAGGTTGTTCCACTGGATTGTTTTGCATTTTGGTGTGAGCCACATAACAACTCGATACATTGCATCATTGACACCTCGAAGGAAATGAGATTAATTAGGCGCAATTAAAAATAATGAACATTTTTTGTTGAGAAAGTTATCATGATTCTCAACTCTCTTCACATACTTACACCTCTAAAAACTTCTTTTTTATATTAATTAATTAGTAATGATGTTAGGCAATTTTATAAAATGGGAAATTTATAAAATAACTTAATATTATATCATGTTAGCAAATACTCGCGTAATATTATAATAATATTTATTGGTGGTTTCGATATAATGACGAATTATTTTGAAAAAATCTATGGCTTTGTGTTGTCAAAATTTGGTTGGATAAACATGTTCACTAAGGCGGGTTTTAGAATCGCGCTGATCGTCGGCGCTGACAGATCAATATGTATGTAATTGAAGGGAACGTTACTGAGTGACGCCTGATCGCTCGGCGTCGACGCTTCATACATTTCGGCTGTCAGCGTTGACGGTCAGCGTGCGTCAGCGTGACTCTAAAACCAGCCTAATAACAAGGAAGTTTTCAGATCAGATTGTCCTTTCTTTTTAAAACCTTGTTAACCCTTTTTATATCAACTGTTTCAGGAATCATCGTATACGACGGTAGGCGCGACAACGCGTGGCGGGTGACCCACGCCTCCATGTACCCCGACCCTGACCTGGGCGAGTATGACATCGGCGGAGAGAAGTTCACCCTTATGGACGGCATCGTGGGCCTGGCCCACTCGCCCACGCAGGGCCTGCTATATTACCAACCTTTGGCCACAGACAGGTTAATATACTCTTACTCTTTACTGATTTAGTACTTTATTTGCTGAGCGAAATTTCGTCAATGAGGGCTATCGTTTTAGTACTTATTTAGCAGTTAGCACCACTGTGCACTGGCGAGTGACAAGACCTTACCTACTTCTACATGACGTTATCATGTAAGCCTAGCGATAAGCAATTATCACGCTATTTTATCGATTTTGCCCATACATTTTGACGTGTCGATAAGAGTATATCACGGCGCGCACCCTAGCCCGCCTGGTGAGTGAAAATTCGGTGGTCCTCCTACTTCGACAGTAGCGTCAAGTAGCGGTAAGAACCGCTTCAACGCTCTCAAAACGCTACTGTCTTAACCATCAGCGAGTGACAGGACCTTACTATACATACACTACTCTATAGTGGCGCCAACTGGCGACGGCAAATACGATAGCCCTCATCTAAGTGGCAAAAGCCAAATGGTGTCGATTTGCAATTCGAGGAATGCTCTAGTTCGATACCTTCTTAAAGGTTTCAAAACTACGTCCCCTATTGTGTGTGATTGATCGATGATCTTTATTATTGTTATGTAATAGTATTTACACTATCTAGGCAAGTTGTTATATCAAATAGAAAGTGGTATACGAAAACATGTTGACACACAAATCGTGCAATACATTTTTATCCGCGGCGAAAAGCAAATGACATAATGTGATCATAGAGACTCACATGCAAAATTTTGCTTAGTTTGCATAAAAAACTAATTGCGAGTATTTTTGAAACGCAGAATGTCTTCTTGTACAATTGAAAATTTCTCTAACGTAGCGTCGTCGTTTTCTGTGAGTGTAACGCTTTAATTTCAGTTAACTACTTTAAAAATAATCTTAATCCTTTTTATTACGTGGCGTTGAGAATGAAAATCGAACTTTATTTCCAAATTGCAGAGTATTCAGTGTATCAACAGCAGTATTGGCTGCGGGTCCTCCCGCTGAAGGCACAGACCTGCCCGTGAATCTCGTGGGCCGCAAGTCGTCCCAAGGCCTGGGCATTGCAGTGGACCCACGAGACGACACCATCATCTTCAGTCCTATCTCCGAGACTGCTATTGCTGCCTGGAACCCAATTACCAATTCACACAAGTAAGATTAATTTGTATGAAGGCAATCAATTGCAATGTGCACTTCAACTTACACATATATACAGTGTGTTTGGGATAGGGCTAGCGATAATTAAAGGCGATGTTGTGATGTCAATTTTATCGACAAAAGTGCCCCCAAAACGTGCCCGGCAAAACTGAATTTTTTGACAAAAACTAAAATTCATTAATTTTTTTAAAGTTTTTCGGTCATTATTTTTCATTTTTGTGTTTTTACACATATTATTGGCTTACAAATGCATTTTTTATTTATCTGTAAGACGGGCATATAAGAAAAACAATCAATTTTTAGGTAGAGTCACATAAACATTAAGCCCACTTCTTCTCTTGGAATGGGGGGTTCCAAGAGGAGGGGGGTGGGCCCACATATGGGGGCATTTTTGTCGATAAAATTGACATCACAACATCGCCTTAAATTATCGCTAGCCCTATCCCAAACACATTGTAGATATATACCTGTTTTGTTCATAATAAATTCAAGTCTAATATCACTTAAACACATTTAGTTCCTACGAGTATACATCCTATATGGAAAAATTTTGATTCTAGTATGTATAAGTAAACTCACAACCTTTATTTACACAATTTTATTGTTATTATTGTATAATTGTATTTTCTGATAGAGTTGTATTTAACATAAAATTCAAATAAATCAAAACAATAAATATCAATTGTTAAGGTATGCTAATTGCTAGTACTAGTATTCAATCATGCTATTATTTGGCCCGTATGATTCAATTATAATTTGTTTCATTCGATTTCCTTTTTGCGAAAAATCGTGATACACGTTTCAGCTTAGTAAGTGGAAATTCCTGCCCTTGATGTTATCATACGTATAATCAGGTAAAATCATATTTCATTTCATATTTACGCGATATGAAATTATTGTGAATACATTTTCTAATGGTTTATTGGTTTTTACCAAGGTGAATAATTTTGCGGGATAAATCATTGAACAAAATATGTAGAGTCACATTGATGGGTTGGTGTGGGTTTTGTACACGAAGCTTTTAGAAAATTTCAAGGTACCTACTAACTTCTTTTAGCATGTTATTTTTAAGAAATCGAATAGACCCCTTACAATAGGTAACCTTATTAATTATTATTGTATGTTCTATTTTTCATTGTGATCTCTAAACTTTTCTCTCTCTCTTTTTGGTAGACTACTGGCCATCGACCCCGAAAAGCTTCAGTTCTGTGCGGAGGTGAGGTGGGCGGAGCGAGACAACGGAGCTGTGTGGGCGCTATCCACTCGTTTCCACAAGTTCTTCCGACGTGCTGTTTCTAAACATGAGGTAAAATAGGCCTATGAGGAATAAAGAAGAGAAGAGCAAAGAATATTTTTTATAAGACATAAAAACTTTACAATAAAAGGCAGAGATAACTTGAAAGCAAATTAGTGAAGTTTAGACGATGGTTTGAAAGAATGTTTTCTGTTGATTGTATTAACAGTTAACAGAACCATTACATTTAATGGAATATAACCACGTTATACTTATTCAAAGTAACGCAATCAACTTGTATTGACCCTGCCCTTGATATGAACTGCAAATTGAAATGATCAGTTCATGCAATCGTATTTGTTGCGATATGTTCAAATAAAACTAAACACGTCTTGTTTCATGCAGCTGCTGCAGCTGCTTTTGTTGCACGATGGAAAGTGAATCGCGGTAGATTAAACTTCAGTTAGGCATTCTTTTTTATTGTTTGTATTTTTAGACCCAACCCTATCTATCATCATCTTTTCCTTTCAGATCAACATTCGTGTTGTCCGCATCCCTGAAAGCGGATTCGCGTCCCTTCAACCGCACATCCTGAGGAGAGCCGCTCGTCAATTCAATGCTACCCGCTACTAAAGGGTGTCGTAACAACAGTACACACTGAGAGGTCAATAACGTTATAATTACAGATAAAAAACCTGCCATGTTTTCGGCCAGTGTTCCATAGATATGGTTTTGTTTAAGGAATTTAAAAATAATATTAAATCCTCTTTGAACCTGTTGAAAATACCCCTGACATTATGGTTCTGTAAGACTATTACAATAGTTAAATTTTATGTAAGTACGAAAATTATAACAGTCATGAATTGACCATGACCGTGATCATACCAGTGAAAGATTTATTAGTGTTAAAGCATACTTATCTAAGTGCAGATTTAGTAGACAGTATCTATTATTATGTAAGGTTCAGGTCGTATAACTTAACTTAGATTCCTTAACAAGCTATATTTACTGAATCACGCGAGAGTGGTAATAATTTGAGTGCCAAGAACTTAATGATTTATCAGACTATCCAAATTTTAACGTATATCACGTTATTGTAATGTAATTATGACGCATTTTCGTCTGTAATAACAATAACACAATTTGCACATGTGTTTTTGTATGAAAAACAAATTGTCTTGTATATAGGTAGGTAGCTTGGGTGAATACTCTTTATTTAAGGTATACAAATGAACCAAAATATTCGTTCGGCCATGCTTAGGGTAGGGGTACACCAACCCGAATAAATTTCAAAATGAGTAGTCGCTAATCACTTGAAATATTTTAATTTTAAAATATATTTTTAAAATTTTACAATTATTTTTATTAATGGAAGGTAAATCTCGGAATCGGTTATTTTGTATGTCAGAAACTACAGGCCACATAATAGTATTCGATACTGGTCACAATGAGGGCTATCGTTTTTATACTTAACAGTTGGCACCCCTGGCGATTGACAGGACCTTACTCTACAGTGGCGCCATCTTGATAAGTGCAAATGCGATAGTCCTCCTACCACTTTAGCGCTCACCAGCTGGCGCCACTGTCTTCGCTACTAGCAAGTGACAGGGCCTTACTCTACAGAGGCGCCAACTGGTGAGCGCTAAAACGATAGCCCTCATTGAAGGGGTGAGTGGACAAAGGTCTTAACTAACAAAATGAGTTATGAGTGTTTGAAAATGTTGATCTGCTCATACCACATTAATTTGAATCCTGAAATGTATGAATGCTTGTCAGATAACACCTTTGTTAAGGTTTGACACGTAACAAAATTGCGTGTTTTGAGCTCATTAGTCGATTTTATCATCACTTAAAACCTATGTTCATGCAAAAAAGTAGATTCTTCAGTTTTGTCAGATAACACCTTTGTCCACTCACCCCTTCAATTAACCACTAGGCACTCTTATCCTAATATAATCTAGGATTTTTGAAATAAAAAAAAAACTTATTTTGCGGATATTAAGGTGGCATTGTAAATTACTCGGTTCCCGAGCCCTTGTCTTCATCTTATTGTAAATATTTTTTATTTTCTTCTTTCGTTCATCTTACTAAACGCTTAGAATTATGTTGCTGCAAGCCAATTTAAAGATAAATATTTAATATTATTGTTCAATTGGCGTTTTCTAGTTCATAACAAGTATTAAAAATAGTCAAATTACCTTAACGAAAATGTTGTACCCTAGGTACGAATGTATGTATATTAGGTATATTCTATGTTTTTCAGTATAAAACCGTTTTAATCTCAACTAGTAGGTAAAAAATAATTTGTATGAAATCAGTTAAAAGAAAAGTTAAATATGTGGTTACAATAGTTTTGCAGCAAAATTTAGTCTAATTTAATGTGATGCCTAAAACTCCTTTCTAGTAAAATACACATTCACTTGTTTAAATTAGAGCCCGTATCAAGTAGGTCAAGGGACACTATTATTTTTATTCTAGTGTTTTCCCCCTATACTTTAAGATACCTAATTATTGCCATGTTCATCATTTATTATTACATAATGTGCTATGTGCGAGGAATTTCATTCGTCCATCTTGTTTACTGGTTCACATACAAAACACGTATAACAGGTGTATAAGACAATGGATCAGAACCTTGAAACTGTTTATTTAGACTGATATGATTACACGAAAATGCTTATAAATTCCGGCTTTTTGAAAAAATAATCTGCTTCCTCGAAGTTTTTTGTTTATATTTTTTCACAATAATTGTCACAATTTGGATTGCTTACGTCGTTCCAAAATGGTTAAATTACCTTGTACCTACCCAATAATGTAATTGTATGTGCAAAAATATTTACGTTACCTCTTAGTGCAAGTGAAAGTTACCAATCGATGCCATTTACCTAAGGGTACCAATTTATTTTAACTATGTCCCTGTGATATAATTGAAATTGAAGACTTCAGTGATATTTTTCTGACAAAAATGTACAAAATGTTTCGTTCCAAAATCAACAACTTTAAAAAGCTACTTTTGGACGGACACTCAAAAAGAAAAATATTGCTGAATTGATTTTTTGGGATAAAATAATTTTATGAATTTTATACCGATACATAGTTGCTTTTAAATTATAAAATAAATACATTGCGTGCCTATTGGTCCATGGGCGGATATCGACGATTTTAATGTTCCAAAATGTCCTATATCATAATCTATTCTAACATTTTATTGCAACCAATGGTAGGTACTACACAAAGTTAGTACTTGTTTGGGGAAAATTAAGTGTCACCTCTAATGTATTACCTTCAATTGAAGGTGGTTTTTCTTATCACTATTGCATGTCATTTAGCAATTAAATGTAAACCGATTAAAAAGAAAAATAAATTCACTACAATAAACGCGTTTGACGCACAATTAATTAATTAGCTAGGTAGGTAAATAATAATTAAACAATTTAAAAAATAAAAATATTTATAAGACATTTTATAAATAAATAAACTCAATTCACAGCTATCAGTTTATTATCACATTACAGCTTTTATTGCTTACCGTATTTATAATGTTTTGTGTGTAATAACTACATTTTGCTAGCGATAATTTAATTTTACGAGATGTGTAATTGATCACAGTAATGGATTGTACTTTTTTAATTAAGTGTGAAATGTCTTAAGAAATTAATAATTCGTTTGCCTATGTAACTTATGCCTACAGTTTTTTTCACAACTGGTACTGAGTTTGTACTTTTTTATTATTTTTAAATAAACTATTTATTTACATTTGTCTTTTTTTAAGAAACACCATTTTAATACAGGTGAATAGGTATGTCAAGATATTTTATATAAAATAACTCATAACACAAGTCGATAATTAAGTAAAAAATATGTGTGGTACCTACTTATTTTGTTTTACTTTCTTACATTTAATTTATTTTCAGTTGGTAATAATTTTATTTATTTGGATTTTTGATCCAATTTTTATTTTAATTTCCAAGAGTGATGAGGTAGATATGTGAGATAGTTTTTACTTACTATGTAGCAAACTGAAAAAAAAATCAATATCTAGTTCTATTCTAGGCGCTTCATCATTCATATCAAGCATGCAAACATGGTAGAGACTTACTCTATTTTGCTATTGAGGGGATTTTTTGAACCACGCGTTGATTCATTGGTGCCATATTGCTCATTAAAAACATAATTACTAATCTTTTGTTGATAAGTCGCAAAGCATGCCATTGTAAGTCAATCGAGAGTCGTGACTGCTTGCTAGTATATTATGTTTGGCCTACTAAATGCAAAGTGGGGAAATACGTACGTACTTAAGGCACTTATGAGTACTGATAAATACCACCTTAAACAGCATCTCGCATGGTGAAAGTACCTTATGAATCGCCCCCATTATCGTAGGTATCACGGGGTTTTCCCGAAGAAATTAATCGCACTTAGGAAATTGATCGCCAATCTGACTAACTTAGTTTTGTTTTGTAATCTTGATAACATCCCAAGTAAACGGCGCGTTCAAGGCATAGGTACGTCTGTGGTTGGTACGTACAGATGACAGTGATCAAATAATTAACAGTAGTTATTACGAGTATTAGGTACATCATAATTACTTGTATAACCGCTTTTAAATGAGACAGGACCGCGGTTTCTGAATTTTAATTATATCAAATATTTTACCTCACATGATCAACATTTGCATAATATTTAGGGGAGAGTTCGGTATATTGTACCGCCGGGTAAATTGTACCACCCTCATATTTCGTAAAGTATTTATTGAATGTCTGTAATTGCAACACTCAGCGATACACAACTAAATTAAATTATTATCGGCCATTTGGTGACGAACACGTGAGTTTTATTTTGAAAAGTATTTTTTCATTGTTTTCAAGTAACTTTTGACAATGCATGTTTAGTTTGTAATTTTGTTAAATTTAATCACAGGGTGTTTCTAATATATTATTTAGAAGCGTAAATTAGTGTGGATTACAATTATTTGAAAAATTTTTCGGTATTTATAAGCTATATTTTTTACCGATTTTTTAAAAGTTTCACCTAGTCGGCTAAATTGTACCACATCAAGTTGTATGGAACTTTACCAAAGGATTTTGATTTTTTTTAGTTAATCATATTTTGAAGTTATAATAGCGTAGTTATGTTTGATTAACAATAAATGAAAGCAAAAGACTAGATCAGGTACAAGTGTGCGTTACGATAATTGGAATTACAAAACTTTTACTCAAAATCGTCATAACGTGTAAAACAATATCGATTGTCAATGTTATTAACTACTGTTCCTTTTCGTTACCTAATTTGTTAAGAATGTATCGTATAATATTTTACCATAGTTTTTTTATAGGCTTGAAATTTATTGAAATCCAATTTAGTAACCCTGTGGTACAAATTATCGAACCGGTTGGCTAAATTGGACCGAAGCTCTGAACTCGTATTTTGTTGATTTGTGCTAAATGAACAAAAAATATGTTGATTAATACCTATGAAATAGTAAGTTGAATAATTTCTCTTTAATTATATACCATGAACATTAGCAAAAACAAAAGAAAACTATGTGTAAAATGGGATTGAAAAAAACTGGTCCAAATTACCGGACTCTCCCTTATTACTAGCGGCCGCCCGCGACTTCGTACGCGTGGATCCCGTTTTACCCCCTTCATCTAATCTTACGCGGTTTAGATTTTTTCATACAAATGTTTTTTCCCTCTAACTCCCGTTCCCGTGGGAATTTTGCAATATCCCGTTGTAACTAAGCTTTAAGTTTACTAAGGTACCTGCATGCCTAATTTCAAGCGTCTAACTTAAGCGGTTTAGATTTTTCATACAAATGTTTTTTCCCGCTAACTCCCGTTCCCGTGGGAATTTTGCAATATCCTGTTGTAACTAAGCTTTAAGTTTACTAAGGTAGGTGCCCGCATGCCAAATTTCAAGCGTCTAACTTAAGCGGTTTAGATTTTTCATACAAAAGGATTTTCCCGCTAATTCCCAGGAGGAGCCCAGGAGTACCTACGAAGAATAATTGTACCAAGTTTCGTTAAAATCCGTCGAGTAGTTTTTGTTTCTATAAGGAACATACAGACAGACAGACAGACAGACAGACAGACAGACAGACAGACAGACAGACAGACAAAAATTTTACTGATTGCATTTTTGGCATCAGTATCGATCACAAATCACCCCCTGATAGTTATTTTGAAAATATATTTCATGTACAGAATTGACCTCTCTACAGATTTATTATAAGTATAGATTTCCAACGAATAGTACTATAATGGACATAGCCATTTCAACACAAGCGTACATTTTGTAAAAACTATCGTTAAAAACTCGTTTGATGTATAAACATAAGTTTTATCAAAATATCTCTTAACGTTTCTTGAAAATCAGTTCCAATTAGCTGGGGATTAAAATAGCACTATTTTAAT